TCCATCCCATCTGTCCATCCGTCCTCCACGCAGTGCTCACTTTGCTGGCTTATCCCAGAACCTGTAAACACAGACAGACAACACATTCACACCTACTAGTCGAGGCATCGTAGAGGAAAAACGAGTGGGTGGTGAATTCTTTCCAGGTGAAGCTCTTAGCTGTGCAGCTTTACATGGTGCAGTTTGCTTCTGCAGTAGGTTTGCTGCTGTGTGGCCTGGAAGGCCAAGAGTCTGGAGCTCTCTATAAAACAATACACGAGCTGATTTCACTGATTATCGCGCCGTGTCTCTGGGTGAAGATGTGCTAATCAGTGAAATCAGCTGCTGTACTGTTTCAAAATGAAAACCTGCTGAGGTTGCCTGAGCCTTCTGCCTCGTTGCTGCTGTAATCTGGAGAAGCTTGTATCAGCAGACTGAGACCTGCGTTAGCTCCGATTCACTATCACTCACAGGGTTAGCGTGACCCCAATCTCTCAAACTCCCCTCTCACATGCAGATACTGACTTCTTATTACTCACACAGAAAACACAAGTGTGCTCTCTGCGTGTCTTTGTGTATAATTTGACACCGTTTCTCTGCTTTTGTTTGCCTTGCTGTTGGGGAATTTCAGGTTATTTCTGCAGGATTAATGTTTGACAAGTTGTACACTCTATGTTATTAATGGATGACATTGCTTTGAACCAGCTTGGAGGGTGTTACTGGGTTAAAATCACAAATGGCAAATTTTCATCTGGTTTAAATGTAAACTACAGTTCCCTGTTACCTCTAGCCAAACAGGTACAGGGCAGCAAAGCTCATCCTGGAGTTTTTAAATCCTGACAAGTAAAGAAATTTCCACTGCAGTTTAGCTGGAAAGTCCCTGAATTTTTCACACATGACTGTTGGTCACAGCTGAGCCACTCATGACTTCTTGTTTGTGTCGTGAAGCACAGAATTTTTTGTTTTGTACAGAATCTGGTCAGTACCAGCGACTTGTTTTTGGCAAACTTTTAAATGAGACATATAGAATAAAGGATAAAAGAGAACAAAGATTTTAATAAAATATTGCAATGTTAAGCTTAGATTTGGTCACGTCTTCAAATGAAGCTACACATCACATGATCGATCTGATAAAAGTTTTAATTTGGGCAATTTTTTAGCATAACTTTCAAACCTGCTGGCGGCTTTTGGAGTTGAGAGGACGCTTTAATTTGGAGTGGCAAAAAAAAAAATGTGTGTATGAAAAATGATTGACTCGTTCCAACCAATCACAGTCCAGAATTATCAGTGGCCATGAAATAAAGGCGCCGCATCCAAAAACTGTAAACTGCACACTTTCTGCAACCTGTCTAATGTCATGCCACATTTGTTCTTCCGCCTCTCTACCTCCGGCCTGCAGACAGCAGCACTGCAGTGATGATCTATTTCATGGCAAAGCAAACAGGAGTGTAGCGCAAAAAGCAAGACGGTTGGACAAAGGAGGGCACCTCTAATGGGAATATCATCTGTTTTGATTGGAGCATGCGGCAACGTTCCTCCAAAAGTGCTCAGCTCAAGACAATAGAACATCCGAGGGCACCGTCTTTGGTGTGTTCTCACAGCCAGTGGTACCGTCTGAGGATGATTCTCCACCTTGTACAAGAACACAGACATCATAATCTAGAAAAGTAATAGTTTGAGATTCCGTGTTGCCATTTTTATTAAACTGCACCCACTCATTCTCAGGGCGTAAAAGCTTTAAGGCTTTAAACTGACAAACTGGATTTCATCAGTGTCTTAAAAAGATATTGAATTTAAATTCCATAAAAGACGGCTTAAGCAAATACAATCTTCTCCTGTGTGGCTGTCCGTTAATATCAGACAAAGAGGTGTGTTAAGAGAATCGGCCATGTTGCTTGGATACTGCATTAAGACTGTTTTACATGTTTAAGTAGGCTAAAAAGGACTCGTTTACCGTCACAGTGAAATGCGGTGGCTGTCTTGTTCTAACCCTTCCCCTCAGCCTTTTGTGTGTCTGTGCATATTGTGTTTAAAGCCTCAGTTTCTGGCTTCCATTAGAGGCAGACACAGCTGCAGGTCTGACTCTCAGCTGCCCATGAATAGTCGAGCACTTTTAAAAAGAAATGTGCGTACGTTCTGTTATGTTTTGAGGCATATTTGTTTGTGTGGTCCTGTCAGGCCTTCATTGTTTAAGCTTTTGGTAGCTGCTGCGATACTTAGCCTGTATCTTTGATTCTTCTGTCTGTCTGTGTTCAGGGTGCTTCTGTGGTCTGGGACTGGTTTACTCCAACAAGTCGTGCACCATGCCGCCCATCACCTTCCAGGACCTGCCCCTCAACATCTACATGGTGATCTTTGGGACGGGCATCTTCGTCTTCATCCTGAGCCTCATCTTCTGCTGTTATTTCATCAGGTGAGAGACAGAAACAGAAATAAAACTAGGAATATGTGAAAAAGGCGATGTGAGGACATCCCATATACATCAAGCACTTTGTTGTTTTGCAGGTTATAGTTCACTTTCTAGGCTAGCAGTTAGCATGTGTTGCTTTTGCTCTGCCTTGCAAAANCACAAATTTGTGTTCATTTTCTTCACCTTTCTTGTGTATTTTTGCAAAAATATTGGAGGACGTTACCTCTTTGTGTCTGAATCAGATGTTTAACTTAAGCCATCCAAGACGTTTAAAGGACAAATTGAGAATTTGCTGTTTTTCATCCATTCAGATAGCTGAAATGTGACAAAGGACACTGATTTATTGCAACATTTCAATCCCAAAACAATGACTTTTATAACCTTTTATGCTTAAATACTCAAGTAGAGCAACAAATTAAAAATACTGCAGTATGTTCCACTGATAGATTTATATTATGCTTAGTGTTGTTGGCGTTTTGAAATCTTCACGCTTTGACATGACACTTAGACCATATTGTAAGGATATTTTTACAGGTTTTACAGAAAATGTAATTGAATAATCAGTGTTTTTCCTTAAATACTGTGTAATTTTACAGATTTTTGCTCATCAAAACATTTCTTGAGAACTTTGATTAAGTGCTAATTAAGTCCCGGCTGCAGCTCTGCATACCGGTGGTTCATTTACGGGCTCATGTTGACGACGCTGATTGAGGCTCAGACTTTGACGCCTCTGGCAATGATCGCCTCTCGAAGTGGCGGAACTTGAACGTACGGCCGTCGACGAGCCCTGACTAATGGAGAATCTGCGCTCGTGGAATCAAGAGGCGGGAAGTATCGATCCTCTCACGCTGCAGTTTCCACTCCGAGGCGGGAGAAGTGTCAGATAGAAATGTCAACGTGTTACTTTGGCTGCAGCAGTGACTAGAAATACCAACATCGATTTAAAGAAAAAAACAAAAACAGTATCACAAGAAAACAATACCCATCACAGGGGAATGGAACTGGTAAAGGTCTTCATCCAGCCATCTGTTCGTCTATCTCTTCATTAATCCCTACAGCCGTCTGTTTGTCCAACCATCAGTCCATTTATTTGTCCTTCCACCTGTTCAAGGCTTTCATCCATCCATCTGACCAACCATTTAATCACCCATTCAATCCATCATCAATCCATTGTTTATCTGTCAATTTATGTCCATTCATCTCTCAAGCTGGTCATCCTTGCATTCATACATCTGTCCATCTGTTTATCTAATCATTTACCCATTCATTCATCTGTTCATCCAACTTTCTGTCCATCTGTCATCTGTTTATCCATCCATCCATCCATCCATCCATCCATCCATCCATCCTATCATTCCTCTGTCCATCCATCCATCCATCCATCCATCCATCCATCCATCATCCATCCTACCATCCGTCCATCCATCCATCCATTCGTCCATCCATTCGTCCATCCATCCATCCATCCATCCATCCATCCATCCATCCATCCATCCATCCATCCATCCTACCATTCGTCTGTCCGTCCATCCATCCATCCATCCATCCATCCATCCATCCATCCATCTCTGTCCAGCTCCTAACCCTTTTGTCCAACCATCCATCCAACACTTCTGTTTCTTCATCCATCCATCCATCTTTCTCTCCAATCACGATCCATCCCATCTGTCCATCCGTCCTCCACGCAGTGCTCACTTTGCTGGCTTATCCCAGAACCTGTAAACACAGACAGACAACACATTCACACCTACTAGTCGAGGCAGCGTAGAGGAAAAACGAGTGGGTGGTGAATTCTTTCCAGGTGAAGCTCTTAGCTGTGCAGCTTTACATGGTGCAGTTTGCTTCTGCAGTAGGTTTGCTGCTGTGTGGCCTGGAAGGCCAAGAGTCTGGAGCTCTCTATAAAACAATACACGAGCTGATTTCACTGATTATCGCGCCGTGTCTCTGGGTGAAGATGTGCTAATCAGTGAAATCAGCTGCTGTACTGTTTCAAAATGAAAACCTGCTGAGGTTGCCTGAGCCTTCTGCCTCGTTGCTGCTGTAATCTGGAGAAGCTTGTATCAGCAGACTGAGACCTGCGTTAGCTCCGATTCACTATCACTCACAGGGTTAGCGTGACCCCAATCTCTCAAACTCCCCTCTCACATGCAGATACTGACTTCTTATTACTCACACAGAAAACACAAGTGTGCTCTCTGCGTGTCTTTGTGTATAATTTGACACCGTTTCTCTGCTTTTGTTTGCCTTGCTGTTGGGGAATTTCAGGTTATTTCTGCAGGATTAATGTTTGACAAGTTGTACACTCTATGTTATTAATGGATGACATTGCTTTGAACCAGCTTGGAGGGTGTTACTGGGTTAAAATCACAAATGGCAAATTTTCATCTGGTTTAAATGTAAACTACAGTTCCCTGTTACCTCTAGCCAAACAGGTACAGGGCAGCAAAGCTCATCCTGGAGTTTTTAAATCCTGACAAGTAAAGAAATTTCCACTGCAGTTTAGCTGGAAAGTCCCTGAATTTTTCACACATGA